GTACTCGGTGGCTACTTCCAAAGAGTTTTGACGTGATGATCGCGACAGGTTCACGGGACTGCTACACAAAACCGCCTCCCCCCCCCAACACACACACAGTATTATTGTATAATAGCAACTATTCTGCATGGAGGGGGGTCACACGTGTAACCCTAAGCTGCACTTTACGCACTATCCTGTTCAGCAGCAGCCCCGTTAACATAAAGATGTGAGCTGCTGCCGACGACGTTAACCCCGTTAATTTCAAAGCGGAAACTTCCAGAGAGGAATTCATTAACATGCCGAGCAGCAAACTTCGCATCCCGTCGATCGCAACCTACAACCCACAGTAACAGCAGAGGTCACCGCTTCGGGAGCATCAGTCAAAACTGGTCGCTTTCACTGCAGACGCCATGAAGGCAGCATCATTAAAAATAATAATAATTAAAATAATAATAATAATAAAGAAATAAAACGTAGAAGAAGACAGAGAAAGCGCCTACCGTACAGCCACGGAGCTGGGCCGGCGCCTTATTTAGACGGAGGAAGAAGCCCTGAGAGTGGATCAGGAGAGAGTGGATGCAGCTGTGAGCAGCGGACTGCCTACCTTTGGAGGCGGAGTGAGAAAAAAGGAGAAAAAAAGCCCGCCTGTGTAACCTTGGCTTGGCCGGGTCTGGGCACAATGTGCAGCCTTGTCGCTCACAGTGGAAAATAGTGGGAGGAACACGCAGATTGGCCCATTGCCCCGCAGGAGGGCTACAGCCACGAGGTGACCCGATGCGTTGCAACTGCACACGCAGGAAAAAGGGAAAGAAGATGACATGCAGGTTTTCTGTACCTTCCTGTAACTTTATTACAAAGTCACATTCATTAGAAGGGAGAATTGGGTCGTTGCAGATTTTATTTCTCATCAGTGGGAAACATATTTGAAGTAGAAATGAAGTAGAAATAATTGAAGCCACACGTGACGTTTATGGTTTAAAGACACGAGTTATGTCACAGGTTTTTACTGCTGGTCAAAGGGGCGCTCGTTCGTGCATCGTGATTTTTTTTTTAAAGCTTTGCACTATGCCAAGGAGTCAGGCTTCTGATCAGGCATCATTTAATCTGTATCAAAGATCACTTCTGATGTAGAAAAAAAATCCTCCTGTCGCAGGAGACTTTAAAAAAAAATCTTTTCTTTAAGTGTCTAAATCAGGGGAGTTAAACATAAGGTTTGGGGGCCAGAATCAGCCCAGCAAAGACTCGAGTTTGGCCCACTAGAAGGCTGTGGAAATATGACAGATGGCATTATATTTAGATTTTTGTTGTATTTTCATAGCTTTTTACAGCTTTTCCTAAGTAATAGATAAAATAATATCAGTTAAAACACAGAAAATCCCCGTTTTTTTTACATTTCTTTCTTCTTCTTTTGTTTTTTTCCAGTGAGTCCACGGGAAAAGGGGACATTTTTTGCGAATTAATGTGAATTACTCTCGCGCTCACTTGAAATCAAAGTGAGTTGACGTGGCCCACTATGTAAAATGAGTTTGACATCCCTGGTCTAGTTTACAACTGTTTTTATGACCTGTCATAATAAAGACACTCTTTCATTGTCTTTCTCTCTCTTTTGAAATGAAATATTTTGCAAATATATAATCAGTGTGTTTAGTGATGGTGTACAGTTCACTGAAAGTTTCCTTGACTTGCACAGAGCTAGCTGCAGTAAATGCTACACTCAGAGGTAATTCTTGCTGAATGACATTTAATATTGTGCATGTGGCTGCTGAGCTAAGCGTACTTGAAGTATGGCTGTGTGCTCACTATGCGTTTTTAATAAAAAACAGCTTTTTCTTTCTTTCTTTCTTCTCCTTACAGTTATGACTGGATGCTTGCAGGGTAAACAGGATATTTATGCATACCTCACACCCATCTCTTTTAAGAGATCAGTAGGTCCATAAAGCACAGACACAGTCCCAAACAATCCCACATGTTTAGCCACATCTAAATGGGTTGAGAGAAAAACCTTTGGTGAGCATCACTTATGAGGAGTTTACAGCACAGCACAACATAAACCACAGTGGTGCTGTGGTTTATGTTGGATTTTGAACTTTTTTGACTCAGTTATTAGTTTTTATATTGTTTAATTACTTTTATAATTCACCAGTAACACTTTCCAGGTCATACTTTAATTTTTTTTCTTAATTTTTTTAAAAGAAAAAGAAAACACATTTATCCAATTTGTCATTAATAAGTACTCAGTTCACACTGATACAGACACACTCGCAGAAACACCCTTTGGCCATTGAACGTTCCACCAGAATTTAAAATCCTTCTCCTCACATACAAGGTCTTGAATAATCAGGCCCCACCTTATCTTAGAGACCTCACAGTATCATATCACCCCAACAGAGCTTGTCACTCTCAGACTGTGGGCTTACTTATGGTTTCTTGGGTATTTAAAAGTAGAATGTGAGGCAGAGCCTTCAGCTTTTAGGTCCCTCCTTATGGAACCAGCTTCCAGTCCTCCCTTAGTTACACTGGAAAAGGCCTAGGCTGCTGGGGACTTCCCATGATGCACTGAGCTTCACTCACCTCTTTTCACTCTCTGTGTCTATATACGCCACTCTGGATTTAATCATACATTATTATTAATCTCTGGCTCACTTGTGTGCCCTTTGTCCTGCCTCTGTCCCCTCATCCCCAACTGATCGTGGCAGATGGATGCCCCTCCCTGAGCCTGGCTCTTCCAGAGGTATCGTCCTGTTAAAAGGATGTTTTTCTTTCCCACTGTTGCCAAGTGCTTGTTACTGTAGATATAAAGCACTATGAGGTGACTGCTGTTGTGATTTGATGCCATATAAATAAAAGTGAACTGAATCAGTGATGATTATGTGGGCTTTTTTTCCTGCTTATTGATAAAGCTTGTGTCATACTGCCCAAAGTGAGACAACAGAAAGAAGCTGTAAGCATACAACTAACAGATTTATCTGATATAGCATGCATGTTAACAACCAGAAAAACTAAAAATTAGTTGAAGTTAAGTTTCTGATCTGATCAACATCAAAACTCCTTTTTAATCTGTTTTTGGTCTTCGTATAATCCTAAAGGAAACAATGGTGTCTTTGTCTAAACGCTCCGGTAATTTTCCACTAATTTTTTGTAAGCATCCATGCTTTCCTTTTTCCTTTTAAATTTATAAATAAAGAAGTTTCTTTCCCTGAATTTGACCCTTCCCAATGGTTTGGAAAAGGGTGTGTACACGTCTGCCTTCTGCTGATAGAAACCCTGCTGATCAGAGTGGGGGCGGAGACTATAACCCCTCCCCCAAAAAAACAAAAACAAAAAAAACAACCCATGAGTTGGAATGCCATTAAGAAAAGCCTTACTCTTTGTTGTTACAATCACAGGATAGAATGTTGTTGTATTATCACAACAGGAAGGCTAGAAAAGCTGCAGTTCAACCGATGGCCACTATGATTACAGCTTAAAACATCTTTCGTCGTCATTATGGTCCCTTTTAATTTAATCCCCCCTAATAATCATTTTAGAAGTTTTTCTGTATAATCACTGGTCAACCTGTAATATTTTGAAGACCTGCTACTGGTTACTGAACGACCGCTGTTTCCACAAAGAGACCTAACATTGATTGCAGCACATCATCATGCCAACAGCACATTAGCTGCAGATTACTGTCAGAAGAGCATGATTGTCCTCTTGCTATGAGTACACAGTGTGAACCTGATATTTGTGCACAGCCTATAATCGTGCATCAATTCAGACCAGGGCATTTTATTTTAAAGAGAACATTGGGTCCCAGGGCTTTGATTTCTTTTGCAGGATAAGTAGGCCTGTACCAACCACAATCGTTATCTTTATCCTGGAGGTCAAACCGAGGTAATGCTCTCATCTGTCACTGTTGTGTGAAACGCTGGTTCAATACCACCATCTTGTGGGTGACAAGGTTCAGGACTTCTACAACAGAAGGTGACCAAAACAGAAAAAATATTGAAACACGCACTATTCCTTAAAAGGTCAACTCTAGAGCTGTTATTACTTCACTGCAAAGTGTAGGTTGGGTCCAAGGCTTCTGCATCATATTTGAGCAAAATGAAATGGGACTCCATTAAATATAAACCCATGAGCTTACTGTTGCACAGATTTATTTTAAAACAGCATCAGATTGCAAACAATTGTTTACCACTTGAATGCAACACCAAATTTAAAGGTCCCACTACAACGTCAGCCAGTTCATTCTCATTCCACGGGGGGAATCTGATAATGAGGTTTTTGTCAAAGTTGGCGGTGTGTCACATGAGACAGGTCAGTCACATCTAGTCCATCTTTTTTTTTTTTTTTTTAAATTTGCCTCCACATTGCAGGGTTACCACTGCAAAGGGATTCACGTCCTCCCAACACAAAAACAGTTAATGCCCGCATATGATCAAGTAGTTTCACTTTAGTGCCTATATGCGACAGAGTACTGAATGGTTCTCACTCAAACACATCCCCCAACCAACAAGTGATAGTAAACAAAACAAAAACAAAATAAAAAACAGAAACAAGTGAAAAAGTAATCTGAGTGGGGGGGAAGAAAGTGAACTTCATGATCTCCAGGCTGACAAACCTGCCCCAGATGTTGTAGATCTCACGGTCCTCTCACATTGAGTACCACCACCAAACAATACATTGTGCGTTACTATGACTGGCAGTCAACGGTATCTGATTTATAACCTCCCCGGGATGAGAACGCATTGGGTCAGCAGAGCAAAGCAAACATGTCATATAAATGTATTTTAAAAAGGCAAAAAGAAAAAGTTGTGTTAATGTTTTAAAGAGCTGAAGTACAGTATTTACAGGAGATTAAAAGCAGACTACTGTACAACTCTTTGCTACATTTACATTCTCACAGATAGGCTTAATTTCCAGATAAAAATAAATACACATCTGATTTCTATTACCCTTTGCATGTCTTATTGCTCATCTATTAAAATAACATTGTAATCATAAAAATCTCATACAGTATATACACACACACACACACACACACACATATGTCTGAAGCAGGTGCATTTCTTTACATTACACACATGCCGGTTTGCATTCTCATATGATTGGACCTCTTCTGTTCCGAGCCACACTTTTGGTCTTTCTTTACATGCATGTTTGTATCATCTACAATATTTTTTCCCCTCCTCTCTCGTTTACTGGGATCTGTTAACTGGGTTGCCAATGAGCTCAGGGCACTGCTCCTCTCCTTTAGCAATCCTGTCGCACTTTCTGAGCAGGTCGTAGTTGATCTTGTCGGTTATGATGCTGTCCTGCTTGTAGTCGGGGTGCTTCGCGACAAATTCCCTCATCCACTTGGCCATGGTCATCAGTTCACCTATTTAACATCAGGAGAAGTCGTTTAGGGAGCGTTATAAGGAGAAAAATGCTTTTGCTTATGAGACTACTCAGTATTAACCTTTTAATGACACTTTACCTGAGGCACGTTTCTTTATGAGCTTCAGATAATTCAAGATGGTGCACCTGGTGTCCACATCCACCTCCATGTTTTCCAGGTAGCAGTTAAGTATTGGGATAAGCCCTTGAAATACTCCCTCCTGATGATTGAAAAAAGAAAAGAAAAAAAGAAACAAAATGCTGAAGTCTCCTCAGCAGGATAGAAAAAGAAAACTTAAACTACTGCAACTACAAACCCTTCCAGATTATTTCAAGAGATTTAAAAACAGATACCCTTGCGGCCAAAATTTTTAATATTGTAAATGTCTCTCTTTTATTTGTATAACAAAGCTCCTTTAAAATTGGATAACTCAAGTCTGCGGGTTTCATTTCATCTACATGCATCTGCAAACAATGTTTTCTTCACAGGCAGAAATATTGTTCCTCCATCTCCATCCCAGAGTTTGGCTACTAAAATACATCTGCATGTTAGTTTTAATCAATACGATGATAACTGAGGGCAGCTTTATTGTCTTATCACTTGTATAGTGCTCCATCCAAAAGCTGGTTCATGAATAATGACAACTTATAGTTGAGAACATCATCAGGGTTTTAAAATCAATAAAATTCAACTCTGTTCAATTCATTTTTATTTGTGTAATAGTCAAATCAGTGCTCTGTATACTCTAAGGTAAAGACCCTATCAGAAAGAAAACCCCAATAATCCTCTAGCACTTGGTGACAGTGGGAAGGAAAAACTCCCTTTAACAGGAAAAAACCCCTCTTAAGTGCCTTGCAATAACTGCTATTGGAGTTTGGCATCATAAATCTAGGAATCCCTTTTCTATTCTTCTGAATCAACTTCTCAGGGAAATGGCTAATTTACTGGGTTTGTTGTTGAAGCAGTGGTTATCGAAGCAAAAATGAACTCTTCTCTCTGCAGGTCCTCATTTTTGTCTAGAGATACAATCCCCCCCAGCTCAGTCACGGTCTGATGAAAGTCAGTTGTCGTCTAATGCATTTTTGCTCTTCACAGCAACGGTTAACCTGCATGCAACTAATGCCTCAAACGTGACTGGCCTATACTTGCACTACAAGTATAAATCTGTCATTACAGACTGAAAACAGGATTTTAAAAAAAAGTAAGTTAAAAATAAAAAGAAAGAAGGGATCGTGACTTAAAAAAGGTGAACTGAAATAAAATGACAGATACGGTCGTTCAACATCATTTTCCTATTGAGTCATTACTACCAGCATAGCTCACACGTCATGTGCAGGAGAATAACTCACCTTTCCATTGATGATTGTGTCAATGCTCATCAGTGTGTACTCCTCATTGGCACCATCAGACTCCAAGCCGTTTTGAGCAGACGCAGTGCCATCGAGCACCGGGTTGCAGCCTGCAAAATAAATATATCAGCTGCTTCAGTCTGAGGCCTTGACAACAAGCGCAGATCCAAAGATAAGCTGTTTTTTTTTTAAAGCACCTTTAAAGATGTCCTTGCGGAAGTAAAACATGCCTTCCTGGACAGCGTTTCTCTTCTGCGCGACCTTCATGTTTTCATCCACCTAATAAAAGACACTTCCTGTATCAGATCTCTGTGTACAAAAATTCACAACCCTACTCACTGGTTAATTTCCTTTTTTAGAAAAAGAACTGTGGGGTTGTTATCACCTTTGACAGCGGGATTATGAAGTCCAGTTTGTAGGACAGGATCACACGGGTCAGCAGGACCACAAACACCACATATGCAGCGTTTTCAAAGTCAGTGAGCTGCACCTGGAAAGAAAGGGCAAAAAATAAATAAATAAATAAATTAAAAAAAATAATAAGACAACTCACCACATCACTGAATTTGAAAGCAGATTACAACAAAACAGTCAAAGAGGTGAGCAGTACCTCCATGGGGCGGAACTCGACTCTCCAGCCGATATCAGAGTTTGGAGGGGGAGGTTTGAACCTCATCGTCTGCCAGTTGGTTGATTGGAGGTTCTGCAAGAAGTCTGAATGAATATTCGTGTACACTGCAGCCATGTGTATACTGCATTTTTACATGCAGGTGGCCCTCTTCTAAAAAAATCATTTAAATTCTCACCTCAAAGTGATCGGACTCGTTCTCGTCATCCAAGTGTATTTTCTCCTCAAAGACAGAGAGTGGGTCTCGTATAAAAAGATGCGCTATGTGCTGGGCCAGGAGCTTGTCGATGCCTATTCACACAGAATGCATTATTCATTTCATTACTGCGCGATCATCTCGTTTAGAATTTCCCCCGTGGCTAAAACGTTTGTATTTTCAGAATCAGTACCTGCACTCAGCAGCTGCTTGTAGATCTCCTCGTCTATCGTCAAATCAATGTCATTGTACTTTTCCCCACAGCAGGACAGGTAGCTGTCAATGGAATCATACCTCGACTTGAAGATCCTGTATTTGTTGTTTTTTAAAGGCTGCAAGGAAAGAAAAACATTTCGTTACTGCTTCACTTTCACTTCAACAAACTATAATGAAAAGTAACTTAGTAATGAAAATAAAAAGTTGGCTCTTTACAAGGTTAGATGAGAAGCATCATAAGCATAAGATAAAGGGGGGAAAAAAAAGCAGTTAGTAAAGTAGTAGTTGATGACAAGAAATTTACAGCAGAAATTTGTGTTTGACTAAAACCTATTTTAAATCCACTACTGCCACTTGATAGGACTCAGCACAACACTCAAACTGCATAGACCATCAGTGGTCCTCTGGCCATTTTACTATACATATTTATCATTTAAGTTACAACAGCCATCACTACAAATTATTTTTAAACACATGTAAGAAAGTCTGTATAATCTGAAATCTGAGCATACTCAGTCACTGCAGTGGTTATAATACAACTTCCAGTGTTTTGTTCCTTGCACCTTTATGCAAAAGCATTATGCAAAAGCAGAAATGCATCTTAGTTTGGCCTCTACACACAGATGTGACACTGCACTTCATTATAGGAGGAACGACGAGAGATTAGTTTCCAGGAAGCATGAAAGCACATGATGCAACACATGACTGACATAAACTTTACAAATAAAAGGGTCAAGCCATGATGTAGAGCGCCTACTGTCACTACTGACACCAGCTGGACTAGAAATACTAGAAATACAGTGAGTAAATAAAGCTACTCACTTTCATTCGAGGTTTTTAAATCTGATCAGTACACTGAACTAAAATGACGGCCTGAACTGGGTTTTCTGAGCTCAGCTCATCTGGCATCATCAAGCATGAAAAGGTTATGCTGACCTGCAGCTCACGCACTCTTTGCAGTTAGTTTCACAGTCTCATATCATATTAAACTGCTTGAAAGCACTGTCAGAAAACTGCACTCAAAAGAAAAAAAAGCATTCAAACTTTGTTGGGAAATCTCCCCAGTAACTTAGTTTCACCATTGCACTCGGGTTACTTCCGTGGATCTCAAGAGCTAATGACTTTAGATGTCAGAAACAGGAACACAAAAAGCCCCTTTTAAATCCAACAACTCACCAGAAGTCTGCCTCTACAAATGAATAAAACACATTTATAAAGTCATGGCTACTCCTGGCCGTTTTCAGGTCCACCTGCTCACCTTTAGCCCACGCTCCTCCTGCGTCCTGTCGTCCACCGAAGCAGAAATAACTCCCCAGCGACAGTCGATGTCTGACACATGGCCTCTGTAGAAGGGTGAGGCTGCACTCAGTGCCATCTGGTAAAGAGTGAAAACTCTCTTTAGTGCGTTTAAAGGAAATGTGGGTTCAAATAAATAAAATCGATGCAAATTTGTTAAAAAAAACAAAAACAAAACAACCCAACAAAAAACGAGCAACCTCCTTAAATAGCTGTTAAGAACCCAACAGCGCTTCAGAGCTTCTAACAAATCAAATGAATGCATATCAAAGAGGTGACTGCATCAACAAAATACCAAAAATTTGCATAAATATGTATTTATAACACTTGGTTTGTTTGCAGGTTTTACTATTTGCATTCCCCTGCATGGAGTGTGCATCTACTGTAGAGCCACAGACAGTGTTTATTTACAGCATCCATTATGTCAGTGTGGTCTGTTTTTGGCTTCTTAGACGTCACATCTACTATAGCACAGCAAAAACTGCAGGTTCTACAGCTGCTACAGCATCAAGCGCATAAATAGCTTGATAAGCAGTTGAAACAGTCCTGCTGAGAATGAGGTCAGTTACGGAAACATAATATATGACAGGAAGCAAGCGTTTTGTTTATCCACTCACCACAATGGGGCAGAATGTTGCTAGTTGGTCATAAAGATACCTTGCCTCATCAATGCTGCAAGCCTGGAATGTCACCTGCAAAAGCATCGTAAAAATAGGATGAAGTACACTTATAAGTTACTTATTAGGAATGTGAAGCTGACAAAGACAACCAGACGTGGCACGCTGCTTGGTCAGTTCATTCACTACCTGCAGACAGCAGTTGCCCATGCCGAAGCCCATGGCATCCATGTAGATATGGTCAGGCAGAGCCGCCCTCGCTGCTTCGCCATCATCCTCAGGAAACTCTTCCACAAACGGAGATGGAGTGCACTTGTCTTTGAAAACTAAAGAAATTTGGTCACATGCATTTATTCCACAATGTCTTAAAGGCAAATGAATCGCATAAAAATCCCCAAAAAACTTTAACTCCATTTACAGTAGCTTACAGATTCCACATTACAGATGTGTTCGACTCTGACCACATCTACAGGTCGCAATTGTTGCTTATCACAAAAACAATAATATAAAAATATCCTCAATTCAGTCAGACTTACTTGGCACATTTATTACAACTTTTTCTCCCCTTCTGTGACGTATGTTTCTGGTTAGAGTGCTGAAAAAAAACCCGTAAAAAATGCAAGTAAAATGTATTTATTTATACAGCACTTTTCACAGATTCAAAAATAATAATAATAAAGTGCTACACAATAAAAACACAAGAAGCAAAAGTATGACATCACAATCTAAAACGTAATAAAAATCACATGTAACCATGCAGATATTTCCTGTCCATCAGTTTCTGATCCATTTTGCTCAACTAACTCCAAAATTTCTAATCAAACACATCTAAACTCTGCTGACATTACAACCATGAAGCCTACCTGAATCTCGGGTGTCTGTTGATGGCTTCATCGGGGAAAAACAGCGACTTGGACACTCCTGTTTCAACAGGAGTTGGTCGGTACTCTGGTTTGGTGAAACCCGGGCAGCCTAACCTGAACAAAACCATCACATAACGCAACATTAAAAAGCTGCGGCTGACATTTATTAGAACAATCCCATATCAGCTTATAGATTCACATTTGTATTGACTTCCTTTATGTGGGTAAAAACCTCTGATCAGTATAAACTGAAGCACCTTGGAAATGCGGTGACGGTGCAGAGAGTTTCTTTTGGGTTCAGGACAGATGACGCCTCGCGCCGCCTCTTCCTCATGTTGCCCTCAACAGTGTTGAACTCTGACATTGTCCCGCCGTATGGCTGACCTGGAGTTCCCTCGATCATGTAGCTACCATACTCTGGTCTCCACAGTGTGGGGTGACTGCAAAAACACACAAAGTGTATTATTAAGCTACAACACTTAGAGTTCAGGCTGGAAAAAAGGCCCCTGGTTTCAGTATCACGATGACCTTTCTGATTAAATAAACGGACCGCTCTCCCTTTATCATACGTCGGGCGTAATCCTGGCGGTGGCAAATGAACGCGACACATTTGTGCTTCTGAGCCTGCTCTTTGGTGTGTGCGACAGAGGGGCAGTAATGAGGAATGCATCAGCTCTACTATTCCCACTGTCACTGGTATTTCCCCTGGGTGAAGTTGGCTACACAGATTTAGACCGACGTCATGGGCTGCAAGCAAACATAACACTCAGGAGCCTGTACAAACACATTTACAGCGACTGCAGAGATGGCACTACAGATTAGACATGCAAACAGTATTCCCAGGAGGAGCTCATCAGGGGGGAAATACCTTGGCATCACCTTGGAGATGTCAGTCAGTCATCAACAAAACTTTTGTAACAGATTAATTTCCGCGTCACATATTTTTAAAGCCACCTAAACGACGCTAAAAAAGGGCACATCACAGAAACACTGTGCTGTACATTTTTTTGTTTTTAACAAGTGTGCTACGCACCCTTTTCTTGTGCTGCAATATTAATTGAACTATTGAGCAGAAAGACTGGAAGATTCAAGCTTTGGTACCATGTGCAGGGAGCCTGTGGGGCTGTGCCAAAATCAAACAGAATAACTCAAAGCTCTGAGTCGGGGAGATGTGTCTCTTCCAGTTAACTGCTTGTGCAAAGACAATGTGATCAACAGAGAGTCTCTGTGCATGTTCTGTATGGACACTTTTTTATTTTTATAACCTTAGGTTAAAAACTTCTGATGAGATAAAACAAGACAACCATGTTTGACTGTTTAAGACTGTAGTTTTTAGAGTGTATAGTAAAAAAAAAAAAAAAAAGTTAATCTGAGATCATATTAGTAAAAAAAAACAAAAAAACTACTGATCTCAGGAGCGTTTCACAGCAAAAATACTCACGATTTCTGTTAATGGCACCAACTTGTGTGATTTGAGGAAAAACAAAAACAAA